GAATATTTTGAGCACATAGATTCTAAATACTGAATATAACCTGGGTGTGAATAGACTATAAATCTGTTTAAGTAGCTAGTTTCTATTGAAGACACCAAACCAGGAAACAAAGCTTTGTTTTCATTCTGACTTTGACTGGTTTTGAGTCCTAAAGGCTCAAGCTGTGACTTAAGCAAACAGAGCACACCAGGACTCCATGAACAATAATTCAATACCCATGAACTGTGGGAACAAAATATGCACTGAATTCTTATTAATTGCTTCTCTTCAGATATTTAACCACGGTTGCTAATATTTGTTCTTAATTTAAAACACTCTTTTTATAATTAAGAAAAAACAACAAACAACCTATTTTAATTTTGAATATTTTTAAAGCCAAGATCAAACCACAGGCCATATTGCAACATATCTCACTTGTCAATAAAGTGAGCGCCTAAATAAGTACCTTCAAGCATATTTATCAGAAGCAGAGCAGCAAATGTGGTTGGATTATATTTATTACTGGCAGCTTTTTGCCTGTGAGCAGGAGCTGAGGGGAACAAGGTGAATTGCCAGCTCTCCTAATAAGACATCTCTGTCAGAGGGTGCTTGGAGACTTTTCTGTCCAGAAACGCTCAGGGGAGAGCCTGGCTGCAGATTAGGGCTCAAAAGCAATGAAAAGAACAGAAAGTGCTGCACACATGGCTGTGCCTGCATCGCTGGGCATTTGGAGGCAACCAGAATTACATGACTTGATTTACTTTACAAAAACTGATTAGTAAAACCCCCTGTGGATTTCTTAACTATACTATGGAGGGATATAAGATTAGTGTAGCAATTCCCATCATCAAACGTATTTACTGCTAAAATATTGGATTAGTGATGTTGTATCCACTGTTCTAAGATTATAAAGTGATTCTTTAAAATTGAGCAAAAAAAAACCCTACACTCTATCATTTGTAATTAGATTTGAGCGAGTGGCTTTGCCTTTTCAGAAAAAGCAATTTTGCTAAAAAAAAAAAAATAAATAAAAATGGACTGTGTTCTGCACACAAATAAAGAGAAAATGAAACTATAGATTCAGAAGAATCTTCTTTTTGAGACACAAATGGCTGGATTTGGGTGGATCACGTTGTGATGCCCAGTGCTGTGGAATACCCCACCTCTACAGCAGGTGGTAATGAAGCCTTGTTGGTGTGAGATGTGGTTTATTTGAACACACATCATTTATTTGACATCATCATCCTCAAACACTCACCCCTCCCAGAGAACTCTGAGGGCCATCACTGTCTCAGGTTCCACTGACAGTGAGCAGAGAAGGAGGAAGAGACGAGGAGAGGGGATAAATTAACATGTTCATTAAAGTAATTATGCTACATTTGGGCCAGGAAGATTAATGCAGCTGTATCCTGACTTTTTAGCCATTATCTTCAGTGACTAAAAGCCCTTGGAGTTCTTACAATTAATAAACAAATAAAAAGCTGCAGCACTACCATCACCTTCTCACATTTTATCCTGTTGAACACCTCTAGGCACCACTTGTATGCAGTATTTCAGAAACACACACAATAGACAGTGATGTAGGAGTCACCAAAAAGAAATTAAATCAGAAATATTCTGCAACTGAAGAGTGGGAGTTTTGTTGTACCTGTCATGCTGGCAAACCTCACTGTTTGCCACTACTACAGTTTAAACTTGAGCATTGTTCCTTTTCAATAAGAAAATGGTAAATCCCTGTTGTCTCTTTCTAGATTCATCTTCCTATTAATGACAGAATCCTGGAGGTTTTAGGGTTGGAGAAGACCTGGTGATCCCACATCTCCCTGGGCTGCCTAATTCCAGTTTTCAGTGAAGAATTTTTCCTTTTTTGCCATCTCATCTAAACCTTGGCAAACCTTTAGGCCATTTCCTCTCATCCTGGCAGTTGCTTCCTGAGACCAATCCCACCCTGCCAAAGGCTGGGAGAAACAATTTGTTTCTGGTTCAGAACCATGGTGACCAATATTATTTCATGTCACTGCCACACAAAATTCAGCAGCAGCAACCTCAGAAATTTAAACAATCACAGATTACTTTGATTTTAAATTGTCCTGTCTATAATGGACTGTAAATTTAGAGGCTACAAATACATAATCTTAACCACAGCAGCTCTGAACAGCCTTGACAGGGTTTATCAGCTAAATGTTTAATCAGGCAAAGCAGCAAAAAACACAACCACAGGAATACATGGTATTTAGCATTTAAATAAAGCTTGTAAACCAATGACAAGTCTATTTGGGCAACTACTCCCACACGTGTTCCTTATCTGCAAAGGTCTTGTCCCAAATTTATCGGAACAAGTCTCTCGTACTTTATTTTCCAGGCAGGAACATCAGTTTCCATTCACTGAGCTCACAGAAAAAAAAGATGCAGCAAACTACAAGTTAAAAGGCACAGCCATGAAAAAAAAGCATTCCCACAATGTCAATGTCATTCTGCTCTGTGAACTTAATCAAGCACAGCCAAAACCCCTAAAAATCACAACTGTAAAACCAAGAACAAAAGCCCCACCACACAGAAGGAGAAATGAGCCTGACGAAGCACTGCAGCTCTTTTCTTGTCTAATTGCAGAGCTGTTTCAAAATTCCCAGCAAAACCTGGCTGCTTCCACGATCCAACCTTGAGCAAATAAGGCGAGCAGGAGCCAGGGCAGCACAAACCCCAAACCCTCGTTTGCCCAGCCTGTAAGCTCTGTGTGAAATTGCCCTGCTGCTAATGGGCACCAGCCTCTCCCTGCTGCTAGCAGGGGCCAGATGTGGCTCTTTCTGCCTCGCTGCCCCTTGGCCCCGCACACAGACCCTGCTCTGGGCTGCTCCGTTCCCTCTCTGCTGGCAGAGCTCATCCCACAGCAGCCCGAGCGCACCAAATGATTTTTTTATTGTTGTTATTAAATAGGCACAAGTAGTGAGACTCTCCCTTGTGTGTGGTTTGGGGGGGACTCAAAAAACTCCCATGGAAGCTACACCTTTTTGTACAGAGGAATTGGCTTTGCTCGTGGTTCATTCCAGCAGCTTTTAAATACATTTCTCCTCCTTTTAGAGTTGGGAACCATTTGCTTTATGAGCACCATTTGGATCATTTGCCTGTTGCTCATAAAATAGACAAAGCTTTTATCCATGCCATGAATTTTTACTCACTTTTTACAAAATACCTAAGGAGGGATTTGCAGTGGCCAGAATTACATCCATGAAAGAATTATCAACTAATTCAATTTTCTGCTACAATAATGGCTCCAGCAGTTTTTGATTTTGTTGATTACAATTCTTCTCTCCAAGAAACAAAAAAGCATATTAGCATTAGTTTCTTTGTATGTATTTGTTTTAGAAAACAGACTGTCTTTTTAAATGAAAAGTGAATAGGAATGATAAAAATAATTTTTAAATTTTGATCTTTGTGGTTATTAATTAAAGCTGTGGCAAATGCAGATTTCTATAGCAATCAAACAACATGGTGATGGTTGGTTGTTGTTCTAGCAAGATTCCCATCAACACCGGGACAGTGCAACAGAATATTTCCTTGGCAGGACTGCTGGCAACAAGTCACACAAAGCACCAAGGAAAAGTGGCTGCAAAATTCACCTGTGTCACTCACGTTCACACACCAGCGCGTGTGACAATCGTAAACGACAATCGTAAATGACAATCACAGCATCAAGCTGCTTCAACAGCTCCTCTCTCAACTCAGAGGCCAAAATGCTCTCCAAGAAGCCAAACCCAGCCCCAACCCAAGCTCCTGGTGAGGAAATGCTGTGGGAGAGGAACAGGAGGAGCCATCAATGCCCCATCAGCTGGGACCAGACCCCTCCCTGCAGGCTGTCCCGGCACATGCAGGGTTAATGCCTGCTGCTAGCTGAGGAGCACAGCAAGCCCCGCAGGACTGCACATAAACATCATTGATTGCAGGCTCAGATCGATGGGGTTTAACTGCTGTGATTAGCAGCTGCCTGCATGCAGGGTTTGGGGGGCTTGGCCATGCAGGGCTGGGAGCAGCACACCCTGAACGGGGAAAAGGGGAAATCCTGGGCCCTGGAGAGCAGCAGCTCAGGGACTGCCCTGCAGCACCAGGCCTGCAGGTTTGCAGACAGAAATCTCCTCTGTGCACGCACAAACGTGAACAGCACATAGCTGGGTTTCTCAGCTGAGAGTTTCTATATTTCAGCCAGCTCTATAGACCGTCCTGTGGAGCCTGCACAGCCAGCACTGCACCTGCTAAAGGGAAGTGCACTCAGGCATGAGCAGAGCTGTGAGGGCTTGTTCATTTCTGCTTCTCAATTCCTGCACTGTGTTTTCCACAAGCTTTGGGAGTAGAACCTCTGGAACAAACCTAACTTCCAGGATTTCACATCTCACTGCTTCTTTCCTCCCCTCACATCACCTCTGAAGCCACATGCTCCATGTGCAACACACTGATACACAGGGAATAAACAGCAAAAAGGGCTCTGAAATCCTCCACAAAAAAATTTGCAATAAACATTTTTTTTCAACTACAAACACCAAAATATTCAAACCCATTCTGTGTTAAGAAAGATTGCATATAAATATCCATGTTTCTTTATTTATTGCTTTTTGCATGGTTAATTATTGTTTCATTCTTGGTTAAGTCCTCCTGAAGCAAAAGGCTGATCTCTCAAACCTCGCTCCCAAAACAACAAACATTCACCCCTTCATTCCTACACCAGATGCTCACAGTTTATTGGCACACCAATAAAACCGTCAAAGTAGTTTTGTTTTGTTAAGTTCCGCAATTTTTTTTTTTTAAGCACAAGTTGAAGGCAAGATAAGGCTGGCATTTCTCTCTTAAAAAGAACTTAAAGGGGACCACCAATAGTCTGGGCAGCCGAAAACCAAAACAAATTATTTTGACACATGATAGAAGAACCACAGAACAACTTTTTGCAACTTTTTTTGCAGATTCTGTCCATAAATACTTATAGAAACCAGCACTACAGACAAGAACTGATCAGAAAAGTTGTTCCAGCCTACCTGTGGCTGAGTCCAGGGCTCCAAGGTAGTTTCTTTCAAAGGAGTTTGTGGCCTTCCCACTTCTTTTGTGTGCTTTTGGGAGAGAAAAAGATATGTCAGTGATATGTTCAGTCAGCATTCAGCATTAATATCCTTTGAGGGAATAAAACAGGTACAAATTCCATACAATAATGTACCAATGCATCAATGCACACATTTGGTGTAGGCTGTAAGCAACTTTTTATTTTTCCACCAGCTAAATAACTTTATAGAGTTGCTGTATCTTTGAAGGTGTGGGGGTACACAACTTCATCTGTGCATACAGGTAAAAAATTCAGCTGAAAATATGAAATTATTTGCCACCAGAGTAAGGCTCAGCAGCAGAAATTCAGAGGGAACTCAACTCTGGTTTCTCCCCTGTTTTCTGCCCAGGCTGTGTTATGCTCACTGTAACTTCAATAGATGAATCCAAAAAGGAATTTTTGGGAAACACTTTTTAAGGCTGAATTATTTGGATGTGGAGCCATGTTTTGAGATGAAAGCCCTTGTCTTTCCTTAATCCTCAGAGCTGGAGCCAGGAGACAAAGCAGTTAAAGCTTTTCTGTCTCCTTGGCTTCCCACCACTTGGAATGTTCTACGAACAACCACCCCAAACCAAAAGTCATTTAATCAAATAAATTAAAATGGTCTTCAAAGACTCTGATCCTTCACACTTCCTTTTTTTTACAATACCAAAACATCCTGCAATTCTTTATTAACATCTAATTACTGCAATAATAAATGCATTGGTAGATTTTGGTCACTGGGCCTGAGCATTCATCAGGATTTTGGCACCTTTTAATTTTCTCCATATGTGCTTCCAGTGAGGGAATTTCTCACACTGTTGTGAAGGATAAAAGTCTCATATTTTCTTTCTCCCTAAATTTTTGTTCTGTCATAAAACAGAAACAAGACTAAAGAAAAGATCTTCTGCTGAAATACTTTTAAGTAGTGCCAAGATTTTCCTCCTCCTAAAATACATCTCTAATGACAATCCCTTTGACCATATCTAATACAAATATCACATTATCCAGGTCCCACTAAATGCCCATGGAGACTGCAAAGATTGACAAAGAAAAGGAGATGCCATTGAATTTTTTGTCTTTTACACCAAAATATAGCTGCTTAAAAGGAAGCATTGTTTTTTTAAATACAGAATTTGGGGGCAACTTCAGTTTGCATAGAGCATTCACAGGGCTTCTTTCAAAAAACCATCTTATTAAATGGCAATTGTGTTTTGGCAGCTTGGATTGCCTGTAATAATAGATTACAAGCAATAATTTTTACCATTTTTTGTTATTTTGTATTTTGGGGTAGCAATGGAATATGATTCATTCTTGAAATAGAACAATAAGTGCATTTCAAAAGTAAAAAGAAATAACCACAGATTCAGTGAATGCTAAAAAGAGTTAAAATGAATGCATCTGGGAAGGGAAGGTTGTGTTTTTCATGTGTTCAAAAGCAAATGTAGTCTACCTTATAATCTTGCTTTAATCACCAGCCATCAAAGGGACCCAAACACACAATGAAAATTATTAAACATATCAATTGTGATGCTAAAGATACCATAATAATTCCACATGGGCCAGCCTGCCAGGAATTGATGTTAAAAATCACATTATTTCTTGAGAAATAATTCTCCTTGGCATTTCACACCAGTTTTTTAAACAACATTTGTCCACTCAGAGGGCAAAGAGAAAAATGAATAAACAAGTGATTATGCAAGGAAAAGAGATGTAAAAGTACATTTAGGTGAAACAGCACTTGAAGTGTTTGGCTAACGCTGGAAACCATGTTCTCAATCTTAGACATGGCTTAATGAAAACTCAAAGAAATTAATGCTGAATTTTATTTAGACTGGCCCCATTTGCTTCCTAAAGACCCCCCTGCCCTGCACCTAAAGAGACCCCGAAGATAAAATATCAGGAAATAGGGACAGCACACAGGAAGAGTGAAAGTAGTGCAGATTCCAGGGAAACTGCTGCTCCTGGAGCGAAAGAAGGTAAAACCAAGCAGCAGCTCCTTCATCCCTGAGGCTTTCCTCACGCAGGAAACACCTTTGTGGACATCACTCCAATCTCCAGTGCTGTTCCACAGCCAGCTCTGGTTCGCCAAGGAGAACCAGGAGGGGATTTGTGGGATCACTCTGCCCATGGACAAAGGTGTGAGCCCTGTGAGCCCACAGGGGCTGCTGGCACCCACCCAGTGCCTGCACCTGTGACAACAGGCAATTCCTGCCCCTCTCCAGGTGATACCTGCTCTGAACCATCTGCAACAACAGCAGCTACACCTGGAGTACAGAGCTTGCTCCCCCTGGCTGAGATACACACAACTTGCTAATGGATTTCACCTACAGCACTTAGCCAAAAGTTCTCTTTCCTCTGTTAGAAAGAAGGATGTGGTAATAAGAGAAAATCCTCACAGGAGCTTCTTCCTTCCAGCACAGATAAAGAAGCTTTGACTAAAAGTGGGGAGTTTTTGGAAGCCTTTATCCCCTTGTTTAGCTTGGGCCATCTTCCTAGAGCCTTCTGCAGCTCCCAAATCCCCTGAAGAAACAATAGACTGTGCCCACAGTCTTTTATGTTCCCTCCTCTTCCTCAATTTGACATTTAGGTTCCACACTTGGAAGAGAACTGTGCTCCTGATGAGATCAAAGATGGAACTGAACTGGATCAAAGATGGAAGATTTCAATCAGGACATGATGTTGTGGTTCCAGCAGTGCCAGTAGAGCTCCCCCAGCCCTCGCACACACACTGTTCAAAAATTTTTCTAGCAATCAAGCTTGACTGGTGAAATAAATGATGTTCTTTCCATGTTGGAAGATTCACCTGTACCTCTGCAAGAGCCAGCTGCTGTTCCACCAGCACAGGGGGTACCTTGGACAGCTCCTCCTGCTCCTCCCTCTCATCCAGCTCCTCCTGAGCTCTCCCTCTCTGCTGCAGCTCATGGACACACATTCTGCCCTAAATCATCACCTGGCACTCTGTCACTGCTGGGGTACAGGCACTGAGCAAGGCACAAACAAAGGAACCACACAAAACCGTGCTGGCTGTAAAGGTTTCCTTCATCTCAGAATTATTTCCTTTTGTCCACCAAGAAATGCAATAATTCCAGCTGCAACCCAAGCCTGTATACCTGCATTAACTCAAATTTTCAGGTGTTTTCAATAGGAACAAAGTTTTGGTTTGCTGTGCCATCATACAGCCAGTCCCATCACTTGACCACCTAGAAATTGCCCTGATCAGTGATGTTAGCAATCAATAAAGTCCAGCACAATAACCAGGTCATAAAAGACTCTGCACAAAATATTTTGCTGATATTTGGATTTATTTTTGGTCTGGTTGTAACAGCAAAATAAAGCTTTAATATTTAATCAAAGCAGTTATTAAGTATTTTTTTAAGGGAAAAATGAAATTCATCATGAATATTTCCTGTTGTTTATTAGGAGCCATAAGTTAACAAACATATAATTACTTATGACAACTTGACAGGTAATATCCAGGCTTCCAAAGCCTACCAGAGAAAATGAACTGTAAAACAGATTTTAAAGGTTATGAAAGTGTTTTAAGTCAGATACCATTTTTGTCTTTAATGGAATGATGGATCTGGGTGTTTCACAGTGGTCCTCACTCTGAAACATGAGGGGAGATCTTCAGTGCATCTGAGACAGCTGAACCTGATTAGGTTTTATTCTAATACTAAATACTGGATTGTTTCAGCTGGATGTTACCTCCATTCCATCATCCTTCTCTATTGACAAGTTTTTACTTTTCTTTAAAACAAACCTTGACTTAGAATTAAAAATGAAAAATAAAAACTTAGAATTAAAAATGAAAAATAAAAAAAATAATAAAATTAAAAATGAAAAATAAAAATGAAAAATAAAAGTTAAAAATAAAAATAAAAAAAACTTTTGCTTACCTATTCTGATTTCCGGAAAAGCCCTACAATTATCTAAGCAGATATTACTATATAATTCTAGTGGTTATTGATTACTGTGAGTAGCAAAAGCAGACTGAAATTCCAAGGTAAAACCATGCATTTTTCTCTTTTTCTCTGGTGCCTTAGGAAACTGCTGTGGCAGCATTAAAATTGTCTGACCCCAAATGCCCCACTCCTGCACTTTACAGCAAAGGGAAAAAAAACCAAAGAACAAACTATGAAACAAGCTTTCAAGCTGAAAAGTTCTATGGCTTGAAGTAAAATTTGGGAAACAAACAGCAAAAAATTTGCTAGGTTGTATATCAGCTATGTTACATTATCATAATATAGTTGGGATTGCAAAGGTTTATCTTCTTGGGGCAACTTCTGTCTGCCAAAATCCACATTTTTAGACAGGAAATGCACTCTTCATTATTTTTCTGTTGCACACTTTAATTAGGAAATCAGGTACACTGATTTTACTGTGCAGGCAGAATGTCTTTGCACTGAGAGAGCAGAACCCTGTAAGCTGAGGAGGAGATTATCTCTATTAACAATGCCTCCCCCTTGCCTCTAAGTTGATTTCAGGTAATTGGATTCCTGCAGTCCTCCCAAGGTCCTTCACATGAAAGGTGAACAGAAGGGTTAATTTTAGTGGCAATAGTATAAGTTAATGAAACAGATTGCTAAAACAAATTATTCTGAGTTTCCAAGGTTCATATATTTATACATAAAGAAAGCCACAGGACAGCTGAATTGAAGATGTCCTTAAGGATTCCTATAGGAAGGTCTCTGCTTTGTGTTTAAGAAACAAAGGTCAGATGACAGAAACATAAACACACAGATAAGAACCCCTTTGTGGAGAGATCAGTGAGAACCCACAAGTCTAGAGTTGTGAAATGTAACTTAGATTAGATTACTTTCCAGAGTAAGCAGCAATCTGGAATCACCTCTGACAGCTTCCACTCTGTTTTGTTTTGCTGTCCCAGCTGCAGGTCCATATCTGGAAGCACCAAAACGCCCTGTGACATGGCTCTGCATCCTCCCAGCCATTCCTTGGCTCAAAAGCCACAATTTCACCCAGCAATTCTCCGATGGAGCTGCCAACAGGCAGCTTTTACCTTGCAAGCAC